GAATCATCAATTCAAGCCAAACATTAATCAAATAGGAACAATTTCACTCAAAGTATACCTAGACACAGGAGAACTATTGTCGTGAAAGTGTTGTACAGTCGATTACGAATTTAGATTGCAGAGAGTTAGAGCACATTTTGCTTTATTCTAACAAATGGGATCGCCGGACGGCGTCTTTGGACCAATGGCTGGACACTCAAGTCACTGACCCAGCCATCAAACACGCTATTCTCTACCTTCTTCAAGGGGTTCGTGATCCGTCCCTACCTCACAGTCGATTGGTTCCGGTTCGTCTTCGCCACACTTTCCTCTCTCAACAACGCATCGGCTACCAAGGTTTATTGGAAGGCCGGCTGTCTGTTCAGTGGACGCCCCTGCAGGAACAGTACCTTCAGTCACGTGGGAGCCAACGCTCTCCGACCCTGTGGGTCTCTCGCCTGTCGCATCAGCTGATCTTGCTTGGATTTCATATGTGGGAACACCGGAACTCAGTGCAACATTCGGAGGACAACGTACAGCTACGCGAACGTAGCCGATTGGTGAACGACGGTATACACTCTCAGTTTGATATGGGCCCAACCGACCTCCCTAAGGTAGTTCAACGCATGCTCGCTGTGAAACGCCGAACTGTGTTGAACAAGCCGTTGGTCGATAGGGAAGAGTGGCTGAAGCTGGTCAGAATGGAACGCACGGCCTATCGCCGCGCTCTGGCGCCCCAACGCCGTATCCTTCACCGCTTCTTCCACCCGGCCCAGGCCCCCTGAACCCATTTCGAGGAATCAACGCCCCGAAATCACCCCGCCTTGTCGCGGGTAGAGTTGGGATCCCCTCGATCCTGACTAGAGCAACTTCTGTCCACCAGATGTCTCCAATGGTTCAAACTAGTTGTTGACTCGTCGCTTCACGGTACTTGACCTTTACAGCCGCTTATTCCACCGGCAATCGTATGCGCTAGATAGCATTTAATCGATTAATGTTTCCGTTATTATTATTAGGGTAGTCTCGGATCTTTTGAAACCGAGGCGCTTGAGTTCCTTCTGGTACTTGCTGGGGAGTCCGTCGAATACAATATCGACCATATCATCAGCAGGTAGGGAGACTGGCTTGACACCATCATCGCCAGGTGGAAACTGGGAAATCAATCGGTTGATTTTTTGAAGTCTTGAAACGTGTTCGCGCACGCTCATATCAAAGACGCTTGCGAAAACCGTTGCCACGTAGCGCTTTCTTCTGTAGTCGCGCGGCATTGTGTGGGAAAATGGTCTTTTTAAGAATCTCGATGGCTCGTTCAAGACCGGTATCAGTAATGGTTCCGTCAATGGGTAGGGCGTTTCGAAAGGTGGTTCTTTCGGATTCACCCATGAGTTGCTCGAGGAAATGAGCCCGGTCTTCGGCAGTGACGATTGCTTGTCCCTTCCAGGCTTCTTCAACAAGTTCAAGGATTTCCAAAAGCTTTTCTGGCTTGGGATTCTTTAAGGGAGGAATCTTCAGGGTGTAGGTTGCGCTCCTCTTTTGGTCGGGATTGCGCTTGCAGGTGAACTCGCGCAGAAGGTCTTGGTTCTCCTCATCATCAGTAGGACTTGTCGGAATCAATGGGATCAAGTTTTCACTTTCTGCACCAGTTGACTTGCGAGGGATAGAAAAGTTAGATAGGACAGGCATTGTGCTTCGCACTTACTGTATTTTGCTAGCAAAGTGTCGTATGTACGAAGATGGAATGTAATAGGAGTGATGAGAGGTAACTCTAAAATATTGTGAGATTATTCTAGGAATGAAATTGGATGTGCTGTGGAGCTGATGTGGTGCTGAGGTGGCAAGGAAGCATATGTAGAAGTACTGTAGGATAGTACCATGTATTCTCTGCAATAGCATCAGCTACTTTGCATTTGCATTGAGTCTTCACTACGGAAGGCACTCATCTTCTACGAGGGTGATCAGTCCTCTTAGAAGATCTAAAACCGTGCTTCATCGTGTGTACAGGAGACGTACGTACGCGGCCCAGACATGCATTCGTATTAGTCCAGTTGACCCTTGTGATTACTATTCTATAATAACGTCACAGGTGTCCGTGTGCGCTAAACGCGAGCAGTGTTCGTTAGTGCTCCATTGGCGGACTAGTGTAGCATATACTGCCCCCCCCTTGACATAACAGAACTATCATCAGCAGTCACCATAACCACCGGAGGAGGTGACTTCCAGGACGACACTGCTTTTAGATTCTTCAAATAGTCAGTCATGATCGGAGATTCGGAACAGACTACGAAAAACCACAAAAAACCAAGCGTGTAATCACAATAACTTCAAATGTACTATTTGAAGCCTGAAACCGCTAGACCATTGCACTTGTCCTTGGGTTGTTGTCTAGTATACTTGAGCACTACTTGGGTAGAAAGAGAATGGTAGTTTCATCCTTCAATTTTTGGCAGTGCTTCCTGTTGGCTAAAACAGCCAGTCTGGTCCTCAAAAATGTGACAAGCTGGTTCTGACCCAGCTACCGGTATATCCTATCTATTTGTCACGCCTGAAGACCACTTTTAATCCATATAAACCTGGATTTT